GGTAGGGGGAGCATTTCAAGTTAGAGAGGGGGCACTTCATGTGGAGGAAGGAGGGGGGTGAACATTTCAAGTAAGGGAGGGAGGGAGGGAGGGAGGGAGGTGTTCCACAGACTTAAGCTATATTTAGCATCTCACATCAGAGAAATAATCTCGCCGTATAAGAAAGATTACATTTATTTTCAGGAGTCAAATATCTTCATTTTCACAACGTATAATCCACTTCCAGCCAAATCCACTCAGGCTCCGTCATGAAGGCTCTTAAAAGGTGGTGTTTTGTCCGTTAGTGTATTCTGAAAATAATCTGACGTCGCTTGATAATAACATTCAATCGCGTCTTGTCACACACGCTGTCGCATTTACTGAACTGAGGCCTTTGTGTGTCCAAATTAAAGTATATTGAGGTAAGAACGAACACTTGATTGAGGAGCGTCTTGTCTACAGATGTCACTCGCATTATTAAAGTAAACAAATCATAAACGACGCCTTGATGACCCTTACACGCGTACTACATTTTTTCCCTCCGACTTACAATTTAATCAAAACACCACGAGGGGTTTTTTTTTCTTTTCTATCGTCGTAAAAAAAAATGATTAAAATGAACTTCCCTCGTCATCTTCAGTCACACACACACACACACACAGTTCCAAGAGTTCAGTAATATTTTTTCGTCCTTCCAAAGCTTACCAGAATAGTCTTAGAGAAACACGTAGTGAATTTTCTGTGTATACATTCCATTATAATGCACGCCACCCAGTCATCACAGTGAGTCACAGAAAACCAACATTCAAAGGTGTTCAATGTTTATACTCTCAAACCCTCAGTTGTACAGAAACACCAAGAATTTTCCACATCCCACACAATGACACCTTGCCCTCCCTACCTCCCTCCCTGCTTCCTTCCTTCATTCCCTCCCTCCCTCCCCGCCCTAGCCTCAAGAATCACTATCACTCGACGTCTTACAGAACCACCTTTAAGCTGCTTCTGTATTTTTGTGAATAATGAACAAGTTTGAACGCATACACCGAGCATGGTGAACACCCCCATCGTCCCGTACAATCATTCATCAGCGGCATTTCTTCTCGGAGCCAAAGGAACCTTTCTCCTCAAACGTCTACTTACCTGCCATTTATATGTTCGAATCTTCCATCTCTCACCATATATATTCCCCCCCCACAAATACACACACACACTGAGTACCACAAGGCAATATCACCATTATATACCATAGAGGCGAAACTCACAACAGTATGAGAGTAAACCTTACCTTTATGATGGTTGGTTGATTATGTCTGTCTATACTTGGTATCTTCATGACTCCCAGAAGATTTTTTTTTAATGCTTCATCCACCTTAGAGACGCTGGATGAACGAAGGATGGGTGAGTCATCCAGGTGATGTATCTCTCGTGGCTGTGTTTTCAGGTCGTGGTTCGAGAGGTTGAAGTGGGTGTATCGTTGTCCACTCGTTTTTCGCTAATTTGTTTATTTATCTGTTCACGATAAACACTAACTTGACTCAAAAGGGACGAAGAACAAGGTAGTTTCTCATCAGTATTCACATCCAACACAAAAGTTTACAAAGTATATCCTGCTGAAAGTCAAAATATAAGCGTAAGATTCACCACTAAGCCACATATCAACAATGTTATATGTACAAACTGAAATATTTCTTCACACGTATAAAAAAACGATCTTGTATGGAGTAATTCGCATTGTACATTACGAATAAACAAATGGAAACAGTAATACTTGTAAAACTATTGAGATATTTACGTGGAATTCGTAGTTCTATGGTAACAGGTGATCTGAAGAACACACACCAGCCTGCCCTGAGTTCATGGCATTGGTTCTGAGGTGACACCAATTTTTTTTTACGGTTTTTAAGTATTTTTCCATTAAAGTCATTCACTATTTGGTTCAATAGTCCTTCAACACAGATTTGCAACACACTTGATGTAGCTGAATTGTTGATAAAGTCAATAAAATCCGCCAAAACTCACAGAAATGTCAGAGACCCGGTAACGCCAAGACCAGCTAAGTTGCCAACCTATCCCGATTTTCAACCTCGTAATCCAAGGCTACCAACAGTATTTTAAACTTTTAAACCACACTGTAATCACTACTAGCAGCAAAAAAGTAACCAAAATTAAATAGTTATAAGAGGAGCACCTTCTTGGTTTACCACCATGATGTGCCTCTGATTTTAAGTATAGTCGTGAATAACAACTTTGTTTTGTACTCGGGCGCCTTTTTCCCCGGCAAGGAGTAAATAAACACAGCAGTCAACACATATTGTGGAAGAAAATATTGAGATCGTGTGGAATTTAGTGAAAATAAATACTGGTCATGTTTGTGGTCACCTAATGTGAATGGAACCGCTATAGCGTTTGTTGAGGGGGAGGGGGGGAATTCTATTATTTTTTCGTTGTCAAAACTAACTAGAAAAACACTAGCTCTTGCTCTCTCCATGGTCGGGAAGTGAGGCCAGTGACCAGCCTACTCAGTTGTTTGGCCGCGCCCTTGATATTTATTTATTTCCCATTCACATTTTTTTTTTTAATATTTCAAATAAGTTTATCTTATCTATTGGTATATTTATTTGTACGTTAGTTATTAATGAGTTTAGTGATGAGTTATTTCTCTAGGATTCTGTTTTGTCCATTAATACAGGATTTGGGAGAATTTTCTGTTAAATATAAACCCTCACATCTGAATTGCTTTTATCATAACACAAATCATAAGTTTATTTCCTCAAATATTCCAAGTTTATTTCTATTTGTTTTATTCTTTCCACCCCAACTATCACGTATTTTCTGCCTTTAAATATCACAGGAAATAAAAACCAAGCCACATCTTCGTAAACATTCCAGATTTTTTTTTATAATCTTTTATGGATTATAATTAAAGATTCATATCAGTGATTATTTTTCCCCCAGACCCAATCACCAATTTTGTTTCCCTATCACAGTTTGGGGGAGTGGAAAAAAAATAAAACACCCACCCATTTGCATATCAGAAATCTCACGTATATTATTTAGTGTATGTAACTTAGGTGTCCTCTCTCACTCGGGCTGTAATTATTAATCTATTTTGGCCTTGGTCTTAAACTCTCAGGCTTATCTTGTATTTTAATAGGAATTCATAGTACCTGTTCATTAACACCTGATCAATATTCAGTTTTAATCATCTTGGCCAGGAGAGTAAATTACTTATTTGGGTCCTGTGTGTGTGTGGGTGGGTGGGAGGGTGTGGAGGGTGGGGGAAGGGGTGTTTAGTGGGTGTGTGGGGTATGAGGTCCTGTGGGTGGGGGGGGAAGTGTGGTGTTTATGTGGGGGTGTTGTGTATGTATGTATATATACTATAGATGTATACATGTGTATATTCGTCAGAAATATACACCTCCTTTACTCCCTCCACAAACAGCTTGTAACAGAATGATCAGACAGTTTTGTATCTACACTGTCATGACACATTCACCCTGACTGAGCTCTTGAGAGATAATAAAAATAAATAAAAATTAAAAATAAACTAAAAAATATATAAAAATAAAAATCCGTCTCCAGTGAATGCTAATACCTACATATTGAGGCTAGTTATCGTACCCTGTCAGAGAATAAACCCACTCTCAATATAATCTCGTCTCTCGGGTCTATTGTTGACATGACGCATGGGAGGTTCAGACCAGTCACGTATACCTAAATTTGTAAACCCGAATCTCTTAAGAGGGTTTGTTTGGTGACGTTTAGAGGCCCGGGTGAAGCTGTTCCGAACCTCTGAGTCAAACACCCCCCTCCCTGAACCCACCTCCTCCACCCTTCCACAGACACTCTATCTTCTCTCACCCCCCACCTCCCCACCCCACCTCACCTCCTACCCACCACCTCCTACCCTACCCACTCCCACCCCCCCCTCCCTACCCCACCCTCACCCTACCCCCACCCTCCCTACCCTACCTCACCCCACCCCCCCACCCTCCCCACCCCACCCCCACCCCCACCCCTCCCCACTCCCCCACTCCCACCCCACCACCCTCCCCACTCCCCCCCTCCCTACCCTTACCTCACTCCTACCCCTCCCCCCCACGTCGCGTTGTCATTGTTATATTTGTGGACGAAAGTTAAGACTGTGTTTAGCCTTCGTCTCTTATTTTAATATTTTCCTCTTTTATTTTTATTTTTCGCTTATTTCCTTATTCTCTGGTTGAAGATGATGGTGGGTCGTCCGTTGCTTGTTGTTGCTCTTCTTCTTCTTCTTCTGCTTTTCTTTCCTTACGGTTCTGTGTTTTTCTTTGTGTTTTTGTATCTCTTTTTATTACATATTATTTGTTTGTTTGTTGGTATTGACAGTGTTATTATTTAGTTATTGTTGTTAAAGTTTTGTTGTTATTTTCACTATTTTGTTTACTGTTATTAGTATTTGTATTTTCTTTATCATTATTATTCCATTTCTTAGTGTTATCATCATCACTATATATAGGATTTATAAAACTTATATTGTATTATTTAAATTACTATTATCATTATTATTATTATTTGTATTTTATCTTTTATCATTAGTCAGTTACTCATTTCTTTCTTAATCAACTTCTGTGTCAATATTTCCGTCAACCATTACTTTCACAGTTTATTTGTTCCTGGGAGAAAAATATTACCAATATATTTCACCAACTTTTGAATTATATTTTGATAATAACTATCGTCTCAGTATATACCGTTAAAACCTTCACTGAGAAATACAAGATGTTGATGACATTTGATCCCTTGAGTACGATGCCAACACCTTGAGTACAGGAGATATTAGAGTACTGTATTCTGTATGGGTAAGTGTTATTGATATAAAATAAATAGTAAAAAAATAATAAGTTCTATATCAGTGTATACTTTCAGTACAGGAATATATCTGAATATATCACATGTTAAAAGTATAGGTGGTAATATTATGTATAAACTAATTAACAAATATAAATCATTAAAGGATAACTGGAATTAAATAAACACACAAACATCTTTCCAATCTTTATTCTGGTGTTATGGTATGTACATCATGGTGTGTGGTGTAGTACAAGCCATCCCAATAGAAATTAATATTATAGACAACAATATAAATTTTTTTTTCAAAACTCCCTTCGGCAGTTTTCAAGAAATCGAAAACCTTCACTTTATTAAATATATTTATTGCTCATACCCGACCCTGCCTGCAACCCCATTAGCGTCTTGGAACTCAGCAATGTGTGTGTCAGGAACCCCGTGTGGCCAGACATCTGAGGCTAGAGGAGAGAGGAGTCTTAACTACTCATTTTGTTTACCTCTAGATCAGCTGATGTCTTTAAAGAGCCACTTGGGGAGTCCTTGCTGCCGAGCTCACGACAGACCACCGGGTTTTTCTTTTATTAAAAATAGAATATAAAAACACGCCATTCATTACAAAAATTTAAAATAACGACTTTTTCTTTATATACAGAGAGAGAGAGAGAGAGAGAGAGAGAGAGAGAGAGAGAGAGAGAGATGTATCAACACAAAGCCTATAAACACGAAAGTGAGAGAGAGAGGATGAGCCTTTAGGATATGTAGTGAAGGTGAGTGATCAGGTAATGGAAAATGATGAAGCGTAGCAGACCATGACGCCGGACGACAGTGAGGGAGTACCAAAAAACAAGTCATATTCTTCGACACCTGTGGGAACCGACCAATCAGGGCTCTTCGACACCTGTGGGAACCGACCAATCAGGGCTGCTACCACAAGCTCGTGGGGGGTGTTTTAGGATAACACTACAAGTTTTTTTTTCCTATTTGTATTAGAAGAAAATATAACGTAACTAGCCTCTTCAATATGTGTTAATTTCTATAGGTATGTGTTAAGATGATCAAGCAGTATAGAATAAACAACTCAACTGTCATAAGCGAATGGTCTTGTTAGTGACTGCTCGAAGGGTGAGTGAGTGAATGAGTGAGTGACTACATTTATCAATATGACCAATAATAATAATATAAAAAAATTATTACTAAATAAGACATCTTGCTGGCTGGCATTAATAAAACCGCAGCGAGCAACACAGAAGTGACTCGATAAATTCTTCCTCTCCAAGTGACCTCGGAAGAAGAATTTTTCATCAACAAACTAAAAAAATTATAACAATCTATATACAGACAACCCTTTCAATTACACAAACATCTTTAAGTATTTTTTTTTTGTAATAAAGGCTGCACAAAAAAACATACATCAATAAATACTGCATCATTTCTATCATGCCCCTACCATGAAAAAAAAGTATTGACTAAAAAAGAAGTTGGACTTATGGATAATCTTTGGGTTACACAGGTCTGGTTTGTAAGGGAGAGAGAGAGAGAGAGGGAGGGTCGTGTCCACCTGAGGTCATGACCCAGCAGGTGAGTGTAAAACAACCAGCTGTTATTATCTTCTCCTCCTCCTCCTCCTCTTCCCTTGCAAAGCTACCAATGGCTCGAAGCTATACTCTACAGCACGTGTCATTCATTGTTAGCTTTAGCTTATTATAGCTTAATTATTTTTTTTGCAGTCTAAAAAAATATGAGTTGCAAATGCATGTAAAAAATAACAGCAATTAAACAACTATAAACCTGTTGAGGTATTCTTTTTAATGTACATTTTGTGTGATCGGCTGTACAACAAAAAACAAAAAGGGTCAATCTGAAGAGACAAAAAAAAAGCAAAAAAGAAAGAAAGTTTCAAAAAAAAAAAACTTTGACTTGAAAATCTTGAGCGGGTTTTGTCTTTTGAAGGACCATACAGAGAACAACAAATTCTCAAGGGCCAGGAAGCACTAAGCAGCGCCAAATTCTGAAACGTAACTTAAGAAGCGAAAAAGAGAGAAAAAAAAATACTGAACACAAGAAGAAAGAATAATTAACATAAACAACAGATCACTGCCTTGACCTTTCTTGACACGTTAACAACACACCTTATACGTTTTAGTGACAAATTCATCCATTTACTGAACACTTGAGCTACGTTTCAGAATATGGTCCTATTTAAGCGCATGTCTCTTGTTTACAACGCAGAACACCTACGGCAATCGTCTCACTGGTCGACTAAGCAACAGCAACTACAGTTCGTCCGTCTGTCAGTCAGTAAACATCATTATCTCTACGGGAACAAGAGCACCTTCAGACGTCCTTACTCGGGGACTCCACTTGACTATGGTTTTTTTTATTTTGTCTTTAAGTCACTTTTACTTTTTTTTTAAATATATATCTGCGGGTAGAAGTGTTCTCTCACTGGAGGCTCAGACCAGACTGCGGGGTAATGGCCACCGCTTTACTGTCCTGGATTTGTCGGTCATCCCCGAAATAAAAATAGTTACTTCAGCGGAATACACTTTTTCAGTAAGATGAACCTCCCGTCGACTGACTCACTGAGGACCCCACGGCGCACTCTGCTGCAGATGCCGTCGAAAAAAAAAAAGGTTGGGGGGGTAAAGGAGGGGGGTGTTGTGTAGACTGTTTCCTCCTCTCTACACCCCGCCATTAATAACACTGTCACTTTCAGTATAGACACGCAGCACTTCGTAGGAATTACCCAGGGGAGGATCCTTTGGGTGTGGGGGTTTTAAAGTCCCTGAGGTCATTATAGCATAGTCCACCACCTCAACGAGAACGGAGGCAGTGTTTAGTATCCCCTCCCTTAAACTGCTGTAAGAACACCACCGGAATTCATCCAACACTCAACTTCGGTAAACGGAGGACTGGTGAATGTGCCCGAGGAGGGGATTCACTATGGATGTGAACCCGATATAGTGGTCCTATTGTCCTGACGAGGCAGAGCTGGGCCGCCGTTCCTGCGTCTGCGTGTGGCAGTGGTCACAGTGGAGACACACGTTACAGGCTCCCAGGCGACGTGCTAAGACAGAACGTAGTTTGAGGGCAGGACCAAGCTTCATGTTGATGCTGGAGGTGAGGTGTTCCTCCGTCAGCAGCGGCAGCGCAGACCCATCGATACGTTGCTCACGGAACGCCTGCGGGAGAAGAGAGAATCATGGGTTAGCGGAGGTGTCTTAACAACGCAATAATTGTGGGGATTTCAGCGATGAGGGACGTCAAGACAGGTTTTCTCTGGCATAAATGGATGTGTATCCATTACCGCCATTGATAACAGCTTAAACGAACTACATCACACATCCTACTCAGTTCTCAACACAAATTTAGAATATGGAAATCAGTTGTAAGATAGTGGAGGGCTTTAAGATCATGCATGAGAATAAGAGAAAAATACACCGACTACTCTTTGCCAACACTGAAGGAACATATGTTTCCAGAAGTCTGTGTTAAGAATTTTTCAACAGCCAAGAGGTTGATTGGCAGTGTTTCGTGTGTGTGTGTCTCTTCCTGGCCGCTGTACAACTACCTGGGTCAGTTAGCATATAGATTGGCTCGTAGCGACAGGCCCCAAGGGTTTACAAAACGTATAAAAACGACAGTGAAGGAGGCAAGGGGGTTGTATCTCCATAGTTTGTGCGATGCTCTTTTGTTTTATGGTTTACGTGTTGTTTGGGTTTTATGGATGTTGAGGATTAATGAGTGAATACAACGAAGGTACAAGTAAGACCAAGAGATTTACTTCGCTTTTCAAATGTCGACAGTGAAATGAAATGGCTAAATCTTCAGCTCTGGGAGGACTCTAGGGGGGGCTCCGTGAGGGCTCTACATGGAAGATAATAAAACTAGTACGGACGAGAACATCCCCGCACCACGACCTGGATAAAGAATGGCGGATTTCCCTTCATACGTCACCTAGACTTGGGAAGAACTTTCACCCACAAGGCACATCGTTCCTCACTGTGAAGGTGTTGGGCCACGTCAGCTCAAGATGATATCAACAGCGAGAGGTAGAACACTTCACACACTTCCTCCACCTACAGATCTCCGTCAGACACCAGGTAACCCCCATCAAGTTCCTCGTTCACACCACACAGACGAGACGCAGACCGGCCATAACAAGCTACACGCAGACGAATTAAAAAAAATGATAAGAGATATGTCCTGGGGGATTGCCGCACCAGAGACGTAGGGCCGAGGAAGAGGTCAAGAGGTAACGCTGTTGCATGCTATATGATAGTAATTTTCGCGCAGGGGTCCGGTAGCTTTGTTTACTGATTACCTGATCGTGCTGCCAAGCCCGCCTTCCACTCACGTTCTCATTGGCCCGCGAGGGTCACGTGATTATAGTGGGGTTAGCCAATAGAATACCGTCTCGACGGAGGCGCGCATTTTGTTTCTTGTCCGAAAGATTACAAATAAATTAAGTGCTTATTATCTTATCCCAATAAAGTATCGAGAGGCAGAATTTGTATCTCGGGTCAGAGTATAAGGTCTTTGAACCTTTACAGCATCGGGGAGCAGTTTTTCCTCCAAGTACAATCTACACCCTCTGGCTGCTCTGGACGCGCGGCAACTAATATATATACATCTCTCTCCCTCGGGTCAACTCTGGGGCTGACGGTGATGAGAGCGATGATGTAAGGCTGACCTGACGGTGAGTCGTGGGATCGATTTGTTAAAAATTAGCTCGTGACCAAGACGGCAGGGAGAGGTGCCCCGCTGGTCACGTCAGCCTCCTGAGAAGGTTGACCCCGTCCCTCCCGCTGCGCCTGACACCAGCGACGTCTGCGCCCTCCTAAGGTCAAACTCTGTCCTGTGGGAGACTCACTGACCCCAGGGTACAGATGAGGTCACAACCGAGGTCATGCTGCCGCGTGGGTGTCGTGGTGGTGGTGGGTGGATGATGATGGTGGTGGTGGGTGGTGATGATGGATGATGGTGGTGGATGATGATGGTAGTAATTGATGATGAAGAATAGTGATTGATGATGATGATGATGACGACGACGACGATGATGATGAGGAGGAGGAAGGACAGAATTCAGTAAAGGAGTATGGAGATAAATGGTGGGTGGATCCAAGTGTGGATAAGTGGATAAAACTGTTTGTCAGTGGCAGCGAGTGATGGCCGGTGGATAAATGAGTGACTGGGAAGGTTCTAAAAGGATTCACACACACGCACACACACACACACAAACCCGTCCCGACATCTTTCAGCAGCCAGGGATTCACCATTAGGCAGTAGCTATCAGCGCTCCCTGACAGACAAGTCTCTTGATTCATGAGAAATTCATCTTAGGAAGAGGTCAATATATGTTGATATATTCACCAGTTGCCGGAATCATGATGGTATCGAGCCCTTCATCACTGCCCGGGCTGCACACATCAACCTTTGTTGATTCAGGTCGCAGCGGCATGGACGGCCTCCTCCTCCTCATCCTCCTACCTCCTCCTCCTATGTTGAGGATGGATGTAAAGGAGGAGGGAGGGAGGGGGAGGGAGGGTGGTAGGGTCACACATTGTTTTATCGTTTTCTTTCTCTCTCGTATTGTTATGCCTGCGCTTCTCTGACACATGAATGGCGTTGCTTTCGACAGTGAATGTTTCTGAAATTCACTTCGAACCCGTGTCTAAATATCTTCCTTTTTGACCGAGGATGCCTTTACATTTATTCATGTCAGCGACCACACGTCACCCAAGACAATTCTAACCCCCCCTCCCCTCCCACATACACACACACAAACACACACTACCCTCTCTCCCTCCCTTCCCCCTCCCTCCCTCTCTCACACCCTCCTATTCCTTCCTACACAGCAATTCTCACGTGGGGGGTATTTAATCTCTCGCTATCAACGCCATCTCATTTCTATGTTTAATCTGTGAGCTCTCAGGAGAGAATAAGAGAAGCCCTCTCTCTCTCTCTCTCAACTCTCTCTCTCAACACTTTTTCTTCTGCCCAAAACACAAAGCATCATTCATCGCGGGTACATAATGAGCATAAATAATCCCCGCCCCCCTGCACCCATGGTCACGGGGGAGCAGCCACACGGGGCTATCGTCGGGACGAGAGGTCGACGAGGGGTCACCGGTAGGTCATGAACGAGCCACTTAAAGCCACCACCACTAACCACTGCTGCAGGATAGGAGGACCCCGGGGGTGGACGGGATGGGTGGAGGGAGGGAGAGAAGGAGGAGGGGTGGCCGTGAGGTAGCTGGGAGAGGAGGGGATAGGAGGAGAAGGATGGGGGGTAGTTAAGGATACAGACAGCTAGGAAGATAGGTATTAAGCATCATGGAGAGAGGATGAGTTAGTGGTCCACCATTACAAGGTTAAGGCTCAATAAAGTAGTATAGTAAAACACACTGGAGACGACAACTCTTGTGTTCCTGAAGCAGAGCTGAGCTTCCTTGTTGACCTTGGAGAGCAAGTAACGTTGACGCTAAGAGCAACAGCAAACACACTCCTCAGCCACCCTCTCCTTCCCCCCCCTCACCTGTTAACCTCTCCCTCCCTCTCACCTGCTAAGTCCTCCCTCCCCTTCACTTACTAACCCCTCCCTCCCGTACATCCCACTTCTCCCTCTCACCACCAACTCCTCCCTCCCCCTCCCAACCATCTTGCCTCAAACAGTGGTGAGCACCAGCTGACTTGTCTCCGGCACGACGCGACCATCACCGCCAGGAGGGTGAAAGGTTCCCTCCTTGTTTAGTGGGTCTTACCATTCACCTTCAGATACTGTATCTTGACATTTAAATACAAAGATATATTCAGGTATGGTTTAGTATCGTTTTACATTTTCGCTATACTATAATATGATTGATTCAACTTCAAACACATTCAATTATTAAAACAAATAATGGGGTAAAATTATCTAATAAAGTCTTTCCATTAAACTCGCCAATGAGTGTGTCTCGTGATCCATTACTTCAAGTCATGTATTTCCTTCTACTCTCAACACAATACGGATCTAAACCAATTTGCAATCCAAACTTGACCACATCCTAAACGATACCGTTGGCGGCAGAGTTATGGCGCAGAGAATGAAGTACACTCACGATAACTCGAAGCAACGAGCCCTTAATCGATGCAAATCAACGCGTTCGAAACAAAGACTCGATACTTAACGACTGAGCATTAGCAGAGCAATCTCATCCTACAAGTTCATGAACAATGCAAATGCACTGGAATCAATCTACCAAACTGGCGATTAGACTTGGGATAAACGCTTGAGTAGTTTCTCTGGATCGACAAATCACCAGCTACTCGGGTTCGCTTGGGTTCAGAGCTGGTGGTTCGAAGCAGCTCAGAGCATGACCTCCGCAACCCGGTCCCTATCGATGGCTATCTTACTCACATAACTTATTAATTGAGCTTTTGTTTCTCTGACTGCTATTGTTTCCACGTGAGCCACAAACTCAATAACAGGAGAGATATTTACGATACACCGAGGAGGAGGAAAGCTTTTTATTATTCTGTTAATTTTCCTTTTGAGCGGAGGACCAAGATACAATATTTGTTTAGCATGAAAGTTACTTCTTATTAAAATCTTTTCTGTTTATCCAACCATGTTAAGTAACCCACTTCCTCCTGACTATAAACACACACACACTCACACACACACACACACACACACACACACACACACATCTCCATTGTTTATGCAGCGGCCATACATCGGGGTTGTCATGGTAACACAGACAAAAGCAGGCACCCACTTTCACAAGCCTCACACAGCCTTCGTTATATAGTAGTGTTATAAACCAGTCAGTATTAATACATGCCTAACATAAGCTGTACTCACGACCAAAGGAGGGGAAGAGAGTGAGAGAGAAGGGGGGGAGGGAGGAGAGGGGTAGAGGGAGGGAGAGGGATGGAGAGGGAGGAGGGGGGGGGAGAAGGAGAGGAGGGAGAGAGATTCACCTTAAAACACCTTAATCACCTTCGCTTCAGTGTCTACCGTGATCCTTAACTGCTCTAATAATACACTAGGTTAGGTTAGGGTAGCATCAAGGTACTTAATTATCAGGTGAAGGTGAAGTAAGCTGGGATACCTATTCTCCAGGTGATCCAGCCAGTCCATCCATCCAGACCCGAGTTATGGATAAGGCTGTCAGGTGGATCAGCAATGTTATCCAACCTACACGACCCCTATCATGACTTAGGATAAACGACCCCCTTAAGCGTTGGTGAGGGTCAGGAGGCCATATTCTATAAAAGCCCCCTTGAGCATGACTACATCCCCGTGTAGTCGTGGAGAAGGAGCCAATTAGTGCTATGTGAAGGGTCGTGGGAGGGTCGTGGAAGGGTAATAGGAGGGTCAAAGGTAGGAAGGGAGTAAGATGATAATAGAGGGGTCGTAGAAGGATCGTAGAGGGTCGTAGGAGGAGGGTCGTCGTAGGAAGGTCGTAAGAGGATCGTAATGATTCCAAAAACTATCAATAAATTAGACCGTCATTTATGAAGTAAAATCAACCTTTTTCATTCATATTTTCATTCATTCATCATCAATTTCCCTTCATTTTTTTCATTCATTAATAAATAACTTTTAGACTTCAAATATAAACAACTTCCACATTTTTCTGACTTTTTTTTTATTTGAAACTTTTTAGAAAATTTATGGATAATTTCTACACTATTACACCCGACACCCGTGTTATTTTTTAATACTTTTTAATACTTTTGAGGTAATAAATTAGAGGCTTTATTCTAGTAATTTTCTTCATAGGAGAGAAAATAGTATTAACGTGGGAGTGTTTACGTCGAGGTTAGGTTAGGTCTGTCTGTGCCTGAGAGAGAGAAGAGTAGGAGAATGGGAGAGGAATGAAGAGGAGAAGGAGACAAGCGAAGGAGAGAGAGAGAAGGAGGAGAAGTGAAGAGGAGGAGGAAGGGAGAGGAGATAAAAGGTAGGAGGGGCATGACCCGACCTGCTCCCACTTTCGATGGTATCTGCCTGGCGATCCCACGACTGTGCTGACGCTGGCCAGGCACGGTGTGAAGAACGCCTTGCCTGGTATCCCGTCCGGCAGTTGGTAAAGCAATAAAGACGAGTGTAATCCTGGCTGTATATAGTGAAGATTGGCCTCCTGGTCCGGGGATGGGGAGGGGGAGGGGGAGAGGGAGGTAAGGGATAAGGGAAGGGGAGGGAGACGGGGATGGGATGGGATGGAAGTGGGGAGGACACGAACTTAAACGCATCATCCCACTGCAAGATATAACGGATGGAACCTAACGTAATGTATCACAACGTAAACTAATGTAATGTAACGTAACGTAACGTAACTTAACTTAATCTGAGACTGATTGACGTAGAATTAGAGACAAATATTTGATAATAATAATAATAATAATAATAATAATAATAATAATAATAATAATAATAATAATAATAATAATAATAATAATAATAATAATAAATAAAAGTAAACAAATATAATAAAAACACTACTAACAACGAAATCTTTAACGAACGAAGATTAAAGTGAAAAGTTACAACAGTCTATTTACCAGCTGATGGAGGATGACCCCCCCTCTCTCGCACCCCTCTCGCACACCCTCTCGTTACCGGCCGACAATTTCCTTATCTCGAGAAAGAAAGCATCGTGACCATCCTCCCTCCCACCAGCCTCCCGCAGGTCGCTCCTGAGGCCACCAGATTATACAACACAACGCTGATAACATGAAATTATGGCAGATAAAGTAAGTGAAGCTAACGCTGCCTGGTAGAGGAGGAGGAAGGGGAAGAGGAGGAGGAAGAGGAGGAGGAGGAAGAGAGAATAAACAGTCTTCTTCCGTGATTTCGTCTTCCTGCCTGCCTGCCTGCCTCCTCTTTAAGAGCCGAAGACCCCAAAGAGTAGGTCGCCCTCATCTTCCTCCTATGCCTCCTCCTCTTCACCCTCTTCTTCTTCTTCTTCTTCTTCTTCTTCTTCTTCCTCCTCCTCTCTGGTAGCTTCCTGACGCCGATGGTGAGAGGTGATAGTCGCTTGATATATTGACACGACACCGCCAGAGAAAACAACACTTTTTTTTTTATTTTTTTATTTAATGGTTTGTTAATGGTCTTAAATTTTGGTATTTTTCCTCCTGACACGGCAGAGAAAATAAATCTACGACCAAGGGAAAAAGAATATATATCTTTTTCTTCTTCATTATTGAGAAAGTTTTAATATTATAAACAAGTTTTCTAAAGAACGATGTTTTAAAAAAAGGTTTTCAAAGTGTGTTTTCAAAGTGGTTTTAATGATTTTGTAATGTTTTTCTTCTATCAACATTAAGAAAAAAAAATATATTCCCAAAGAACAGGTTTTTGATACTATCCAAATAAACAACATTTCTCTCCTTCCACAACAGATTTAATAAGTTCTAAGTCTATGAAAACGACTTCAAGAAACACCACCTTTGAAAAATACACCAAATGCTCTATATATTTCGATTTTTATTTCCATCGTCCCAAAACCCAATTCTACTTTAGGTTTAAGAATGGTGGAACCTAGTAAAACCTGAAGGAACCTATTTAAACCCGAAGGAACCTATTAAAACCTAGAGAAACCTATTAAACCCGAAGGAACCTATTTTAAAACCTGGAGGAACCGTTTCAACTGTATATCGGCCATCTTATCGCGATCTAGATTATAAGAGTCCAAGTGATATTCCCCACAGCTCTCCACTACACTCAGAACACGTTTCTTCACCAGCAACTGTTGGTTAAACCCATTCGATTCTCCCCCTTGATCAAGATCTTGTTTACAATTGGCTCGCCTGTGCAATTGTATGAGGTGGTGGTAAGCTATCTATCGCATCCTGTAAGTGAGGTGAGGTGAGGGTTTTCTTTCTTTCTTTCTTTCTTTCTTTCTTAGTGTCTGTCTGTCTCTCTCTCTCTCTCACCACCGTACACCACTTACCATAATCCCTCCCCCTACCCCCCCCCCCTTCGGTAGTCTACACAGTACACACTTGAGCATTTCCATGACTACAATAGGTGAGAATTGGTAATGAGATCCATAGGCCTATAAAAAAAGTAGTAGGCATAGGAGGCGTAGGGAGGAGCGAGTTTTATTTAGGTTAACGTCTTGGTATGGTTAGGTTAGGTTAGGTTAAGTCTCTATCTTATCTCTTCTCTCTCTGTATATCTCTGTTTATCATTATTTATCGATGTATATATCGTTCATTCTGTCTGTTTGTTTGTTTAATAATTTCTTCGTTCTTTCGTTCACCTCTTATGCTAGAGAGAGAGAGAGAGAGAGAGAGAGAGTACAGGTGAATTTGGGAGAGAGTCACCTGAGTTTGACTCGAGAAGTGACAACAAAATTTTAGTATATATATCAACAGTTCTTATACGCATTAAAAAAATAAATCGAATTTATACCAAAAATCAAAGTCTTCCGCATATATCCAGGTCAGGGTTCGAATCCCGTACTGCGAATGAAAGGGCTCGAACTCCGACTAGTGAAGGGGGAAGGGGGTAATGTTCCAATGACGTTGATATATATGGATCATGAGTATTTATTTGCATATCTACATTAGATTTATTAGGTATATTGTACAGGTGTTCTCGAGGCTCGTGTAAGAATGGACTTTTGTAATGGACTTTCACTGTGAGTAATTAAGATACCTTTATAGACTCACAGGTGTGTTAGAAGTACAGGTAGCACATCCTAAACACACCGTCTCATGGTTTCGGGGCAGTAAAGGTCTCAGCAGTGAAATCCATTACTGATCCTCCTGATCCATCACACGCCCCAGTGATAGGTGATCCACTGGCACGAGGATCATTACGGCCACACCTGCAGTGACTCTCCCAAACATAGACGGATGCTCACCATACATCATCCCAGGCCTAAGGCTGCTCAGGGATTAATCTCAGGGGGTGTCGATACCTGGCCTGTGTAGCAAGACGCGGGGTGGGGAGGTGGGAGGGAAGGAGGGAGGGAGGAGGGGAGATATCTGATGCTTGTTTTTCTAATGTGATCAAATAATAATAATAATATTAATAATAATAATAAACTACACACAAACGCAGCGAAATGAAACACCTGTCAACCCCATCATCAGAGGTGAGTGTGAGGGAAGAGTGGTGTAGCAGAGGCGTTGGGCAGGACTAGAGGAATGTCACATGGTTGGAGGAAAGGACAGGGAGAAACAAACAGAGGGAGGTGCTAATGACAGAGACTCGCCGCCAGGTAATGTGGTTTGTAATATCACCTTGACCAGCCAGATGAGCCTCAGTAGATGGTCGCCTTCACATATTTCTCTCTAGGGTCAAGTGTGTGTGTGTGTGTGTGTGTGTGAGTCTCCAGTGTTTGGTCTCTCCTGTCTGGTGTTGAAGGATGTCTTGAATCTTATATGGTAGTGAGGATGTAGGAGGATATACCTGTGTTGGTGGAGGGGTATTTTTCTTGTATAGGAGGACAGGAAAGTGGGTCAAGTGTTAAACGATTCACAGAGGAACATTAACTATGGCAGTCTTCTTCACAGCTGCTGGGTGTAGCCGTGAGAAAGTTTGTATTAACGGCGACATTACGCGGCTCTTGTGGTTATAGCCCGGGGAAGGCACAGAAGGTGAGACCCTTTGTCCCATAGACACTTAGGGTAGACCCCCTTTAAGGAATTTACTAAATGATAGGCACTATGTTTGGACAGGACCTGATGTGGCCGCCGGTGACGGTATGATTGCCGCCTTCGTCTCGTCTCTGTGGTGTGGAGGGAGTCATTGTGGAATTACTTGATTGATTTTAGGGCGGAGAGAAGGGGAGAGGGAGAAGAAGTGACCGCCGGTAAGACTTCCCTCAGGTCAGTTTAGCCTCACGTGGGAATGGTGGTGTAATGTTTCTCACTCTTGGCTGTTGTTCTCAGAGAGGAGTAGATTCAGAAACATAAAAAATGAAAAACTATTAACTGGTGGAGATGTAAACTTACCTCGACATATTCGGCGCACAGTTCTATGCTCCCGACGAAGGAACAGACATCGTCGACGGTCCACTGGCCGATGGTCTCGAGTGTGGTGCAGTTCTTGTCTGAGCAGGGCGTGGGGGGCTTGTGGGTCCCCGGAGAAGGCGTGGGACGAGGCTTGGGTGGCGTGGGCGACCGGGTGGTGTGGGCCTTGGACTCCAGCTTCTTCTCCTCTTCGTGTTGAAGACCAAACAACGTCTTGACGTCGAAGGACTTGGAAGGTTCTGTGCGGGGTCTCTTGGTGGCCATGGTGGCGGAGAGGTCGAGAGGGGAGGTTGGGGCGTCAGCTGGCCGCTTCATGGCCCCCCGCAGGTAGTTCTCCAATTGTGACTGTTGCGTCGCCGAGGCGTTGCGCACCATGTTGAGGAGGACTTGCGAGGAGGACATGTCCACCAGAGGGAACCCGGGGAAACCAGGGATACCCGCGGCCCCTGGGAACATCGGGGGCGCCCCTGGGTGAGGCAGCGGAGACATGCCCGCGGCTGAGGACACTGGTATCGTCTCCATCTTCTTCTCGGCCTCCTTGACTGACGCCGCGGTGGTGGGCTGTGTGGGCACGCCGATGAAGGGCGCCGACCCGTGCTTGAAGCCCGCCAGGCCACCCAGGGGATGACGTAGGAACCCGTTGTTTGGACTGCTGAAGTAACTGCGGGGGAGACAGAGAGAGAGCCATTAGCCACGCTCGGCAGGTCAAGAAGTTTCCATTACATTACCTACATCAGGCACCATTAGTGGCTGGTCACCTCAGGCACCCTAAGAGGAGGCAGGGGTCAGGGTGAGTCAGGGTGAGGGCGGGTGAGGGTGGGTCAGGGTGATGGTGTGTTAGGGGGAGGGTGGGTCAGGGGGACTAAGTTTTAACGTAATAATGCAGACGCCGCGGCCGTCCGCCCTCCTGGAGATTACGAGCCGCCATGAAACACACCTCGACCACACACCAACCACACACACCAGCCACACCTTGATATCAGCACCACACTATTATTCAGAACCTTCACAACCATATCACCACACTCACCACACCATTATTCTAAACCTTCACAGCCACACCTCGACCACATCAGACCCACGATACAGCTCCTCAAGGCTTCTCGGTAAGTTACAATCACACGAGAGTTAAAGAATCATCACGACTCACATGGCCTCCACATACCCCCCCCCCCACACACACACCACTCTAATTTCTTGTGTAAATATTATAAAAAAGTAATCACATACCAACAGAAATCCACATTAAGTCTCATGTTCTATTTGTTAAGTCATTATATACGAGAAAAACAAACTCCACCTGAGAGGAATTTAACGCCTTAAGGAAATACGATCATGTTGGTAGCTGAGACAAGCACTGAGAAAAGCAATCACAGAGAAGAGAGAGATGAGAACCTGTCAATGTGGTGATGGTGTGGCTGAGAGGTGAGGTAAGGTTGAAGGGGTGTAGCTGAGAGGGATGTGGTTGAATGGGGATGTGGCTGAGAGGAGTGTGTGACTGACAGAGAGGTGTGGTTGAATGGGGATGTGAATAAAAGGGCATATAGCTAAAAGATCAAATGGCTGAGAAAGAGATGTGGCTTAAAGGGTGTGGCCGAGCTTTTGAAGAATTTGCATGGGTGTATATCTGGTAAAGAATACGGACGTGGGTGTGGCTGGGTGTAGGAGAATGGTATTGAGAACATGTAAGGTGGGTGTGGTTTGGGTGTAAGAATGGAGTGTACAGTTATAGTCGTTAGTAAAGATGGTGTTAGGTGGTGGTGTTAGGTGGTGGTGTAAGGGGTTAGTGGTTAAGGGGTTAGTGGTGTAAGGGGTTAGTGGTGTAAGGGGTTAGTGGTGTAAGGGGTTAGTGGTGTAAGGGGTTAGTGGTGTAAGGGGTTAGTGGTGTCGTAAGTCAAAGCAAAAGTTTATGTATGAGGGTAATGAGGGAGTGTGAGTGGTGAGGGTGGGCGTGTGAGTGGTGAGGGTGGGCGTGTGAGTGGTGATGGAGGGCGTGTGAGTGAGCAGCTGGGCGTGTAAGGAGGAGGAGGTCAGTTAGGTCAGCAGTGTGACGGGGAGAGGAGGAAGAGAGGAGAGGAGGAGAGAGCAAGGGGGGAGGAGAAGGCGTGGCATGATAAGAGACTCTGTGCAATGGAGTCAGTCTGTTTCTCGAGTTCACATTAGGTCACTCCTTAATTCACCTCCTCCTCCTCCTCCTCCATCCACCCACACCATACTAATCCACTTTATCCAACTCACATTAATAATATATTCGACCACCCACATAAGGCTGCATCCCTAATCTCTCTTAATCTTCCAAGAAACCAAAAAAAAAAATAATAATCTTCAGTAAGACATTCAGACCATCCCTTCCTCCCCCCTCCTCTCCTTCCCCGTCCCCTATCCCTCCTTCTCCCTTCCCCTCCCCCCCTCCCTCCCCTACCTCCCCTGTCAAGAAGTTCACGCGAGCGATCATGGTCTGATATGACTGGGCCCCTGGATAAAGATCTCTCAGAGTCTTTATATTCGGACAAAGATTTCAGACTTGGTAGATTTCATTTCCTGATATCTTAAGGTTGCCCAATCGATGGCCACCCAACCCAACCCAACCCAACCCAACCCCAACCCAACCCAACACAACCTAACCTAACCTAACCTAATCGATGGCCACCAAAATATGCTGAGTGTGATGACCGTGACGGAGTGGGTGTGAGTGGCTGATGGTTCACCTATCAGGAGATGAAGGTGATAGCCTGACCACTTCTGCTGCCCGTCATCAGCATACTCTCTCTCTCTCTCTCTCTCTCCTCTCTCTAGTTTCTGTCTGTGTTTCCTTATGTCTATCTTTCGGTCTATTTCTGTCCGTGTTCTGTCTGTATGTTTCCGTCTGGTTTTTTTTTATTTCTACCCATAAATAATTTAGATATGAATTACCACTCCAGAACCCAACCCCACCCCACCCCCCAAGACACGCCTGATGTCTCCTGTCAAGCTACACTAAAGTTCTTCCCTATACATTAATATCCATCTCAGGTCAGCCTCTAGTCCACGTCACAGCCGGTCAAAGATCCACCTCGAGGATAAGCTCTCTCTTGTTCTCATGTTATTACAAATGGCGCTGCTTCTCCAGGATGCAAATTTCTTCATTTTCGTGACGTCTTCAACTAAGGCTCCTTCTATCAGAGCCTGACCCCATCCAGGATACTCAATGACACACAAGACGCATCAATGGCTTATGTCTTGGAGCTTAGATTCACCCTTGTTTCCGATACGATTGAGGATTGAATTCCCTTTATCTTCAGGAAGGTTGGGATGCCCTCCATGACCCCTTTGACAGGAGGTTATGTCGAGGGGATTGTCAGTGAGGTTCTGGGCTAATGGTGGCTTTGTTAAGTCGTTGTCACGTGCGTCACCTCTTTAACGCTTTTACTACTTTCAATCATAACCGTGACTTTTGGAGGAGAAAAGGAGGAAGAGGAGAAGAGAAGAAGAGAAGAAGAGGAAGACAGGAGGAGGAGTAGGACAGGAGAAGAAGAGGAGAAGAACAGGAAGAGGCGGAGGAAGAGAAGAGGAGCAGAAGAGGAGGAGAAGGGGGAAGGAAGTGGGGGGAAAACATATGTCAGTGGGGAAAAAGGTTGGTACCTCAAGGGAGAGATTCTATATATGGGGAAGGGAACGCTGGGTGTGACTCAACCCTTAGGGGAGGACACGATGATAATGATGAGAGAATGAGATGATTAAAGATGAGGGAGATGAAGTGCCAGAGAGAGAGAGGAATAAATAGAGGGGGAGGAGAGATGCAAAGATGAAGAAAAAGAGAAAATAAAAATAAAAAAGAACGTAAGAAAGAGAGAAAGAGAGAGAGAGAGAGAGAGAATTACAACACTTCAAGGCTTCCGTAATTTACAGGTGAGGCCACAGGTCACGTACCGAGGCTTCAGCTTGCACTCTCTCCCGTGGGATAACTCGCTACCCTTTACTCAGCCAGTTAAAACTTTACTCACCACTAGTTTACACATTTACTCGCTCAGGGTAACGCGAGTGTGGTGATGGTGGTGGACGAGTCACTGCCACCACCGAGTGAGCCGACCCACTCCTTGCCTCAGACATATACTCATTGAAATCACCACCTTGTTCAAGCCGCGGCGTCTCGCGTTCATGTAATTCTAAAGGCTTTTGAATCTTAAGACAGTGATATTTCAAGTGTGATTATGGCAACATGCGGCTCACCACAGTGGGAGATTCAACCTTTTTAAACCCCCCTCGAGTGTACCATTCTGCCTTGTGGTCATTTAGCAGGAACATCACCCCTCCCCGTATGCTGAGGTCAAGAAGCCACACCCTAATTCACGACTCGCACAAGAACAATACGAATTCGAAGTCTTCAAAATCCCTAGACACAATGGTCTATAAAGAGGAGCAAGGCATAAATCCTCCGGCCAGGGGGAGGGGGATGAAGGGTCCCGACAGCCTTCTCTGAGCAGCGGGCCTCCTCACCTTTGACCTCGGGGGAGTTGTTAGCACCGGGAGGCCCCAGCGCTGCCTCGCAGGGGCACCGCCACCACGTGGGGAGGAGAGACACGTCCACCATCTGCGGCGGCCACTGGGGGCGTCAGGGAGGGAGGGAGGGACGTGGCCGCCTCAGGGGTCGCGTACTGAAGCGTGAGGGAGTGGCCCCATCACCACCGGGTACGTAATGACTCGCTCTGTTTACTGTTTTTCATCCCCGTCTCGTCTCGCCCAAGGAGGCGAGGCGGATGAATAAGATTACGCTATTCTTACGTCTACTCAACATCGGATTTAAAAGACTCACAGAGGCAGAAGGCGATTTACAAGAGGAATAAACTAACATAGCAAAGATATTAACAAAAAATAAACCCGGGTGTGTGTGTAGGAGTTCGCAGATGTACAAGTGTTGGTACAGACAATCTCGGCATCAAGATGTCTTAACGACTGGCTCTGGTCACGACCCAGCCATCGAGACCAATATCTAATCCAGGGGTTTGTCGGGGGAGCCCTTCGGAGGCGCGTCAAGGGCGGCCACGATAGGTAGAGGGAGGGAGGGAAGGGGGGGGGGTTATCTCATTTTATCCCTTGGTCATCAGGTACTCATGACTCTGAGGTCGTGCCAGGGTCGTATCTGGTCGTGTCAGGTCGTGTTAGGATTATTCCAGGGTCGTGCCAGGGGGTCGTGTCAGGGTAGTCTCAGGGTCGTGTCAGGGTACTCTCAGGGTCGTGTCTAGTCGTATCATGGTCGTGTGTCATGGTCGTTATTGGTGAGCCTCTCTCAGGAGTTGATCAGCAGCGTGATACACCTCCAATGGTTCGGTACATAAAAGTGATGTTGATTTGCCGATTCATTTAACCCTCCGTCTCGTGGGGGGGGAGGGGGGGTGAGGGAGGTGGGGGGGTGAGGGAGGTGAGCGGGTAGGGGTAGTAAGGAGTGATGATGGAAGTTGTGAGGGGGTGGCGAGGTGGGTGAGGAGGGTAAGGGAGGAGTAAGGGGGAGTGAGGGGGGAGTAAGAGGTGAGGGTCAGGTCGTCTCGTAGTGGATGACAGAAAAAGTTGTTCATTTATCCTGTGATTCACCACTGATCGTCTTGTCGATGAAAGTTGATGATACTGATTCGCCGATCATCCTGTTAATGTGATACTGATTCGCCGATCATCCTGTTAATGTAA